AGCAGACTCTGCAAAGCGCCTTAACGGCAAATGATAATTCTTCTAACAACATTTCATCTAGCTTCAATTCAGTTGCAGTACCAGAGGCGATAACGGTACCTACTAACTCTGCGAAGCGCCTTAACGGCAAATTGTTGGAAGAAAAAGATATGGATAGTTCCTTGCTTGAGGCTCATAAGAAAATCGTTAGTAGTGAAATAAAGCAACGCAATAAGGAGAAGAAACTTCAAGCCCAAGAGTCCCTTCCAACACATCCCAAAGAGAAAGTGTCTCAAGAGCTTAACTCGTGTAATAGATCGCATAAGAAAAAAGGAATGGATGAACTCAAGCACGAATTATTTAATCCCCCTTCGGAAACAGATAGTCCATCATCTATAAACCATAACATTATGACCGAAGTTTCCGAGACAGCCCGTCCCGAAAAATTTACCTGTGACGGCCTCACATTATTTAGCTCAGTTATGTGATAAAGCTATCGATGCTAAAGATAGAGCAAATCGAGCTAATCAGGAAGAAATTCTATGTTGGTGCCTCTACTGGAAAGATTTCAGAAATCAGCTTGATGAGCTTATCAGAAGCGGTGGGGTAAATTTGGTGAAAAGAAGGCGAGAAGTATACTTTATGACACCATCACAGAACAGCTTTCTATCCTCCGCAAGAAAAGATCGCAAGAATTGGAGGTACAACTTAGGAATGTATCATGGGATAGCTTGCGTAAGTAAACTCAGAGAGCTAAAAAAAACTATAAATTATTTGAAAAAGTGGGTCTAGATAAGATCAAGTATATTAATTCATATAGCGTGAATTCCATTTCAGAGCTTACTGATACGCAATTTCAAGAGATCATAGACTATGGCAGTGATGTGCACTTGGAAGATTGGAAGCACCATTGGAAGCACCTTTGGAAGGTTTGGAAGCACAATTTATTAATAAAATTATTTGAATTGGAAGCTTCCAATCAAATTTTTTACCATTGGAAGCATAAAATGCACATCACTGGACTATGGTATATCTTTGGAAAAGTTGCCTCCGGAAGCTAGTCATGTGTCCAAAATTTCTGAGACGGCCCGTCCTGAAAAAATCTTGCCCACTTCTGAAGAAAATTCAGCTGAGGTAAGCATTCCAACACCACCTATTCCATTGGCCCATGCCTCTAATTCTTCTGATAATTTCAAGGAAGAGGAGTGGTTTGATGAAGATACGTTTTTCAATGAGGCGAATCCCACTAAAGTGAACACTATTATTTCAAACGATGATATGTATTTTAATGAGACGAATGATGCTAATACGCACAATAGCGACTTCAATTCATGTAATAAAGACTCTGATCCCGATAGTAATTCTGAAGATGAGATTCCAGGCGATTCGGATGATGATGGATATGATAGATACGGTGGATATAATGAATATGGTGAATGTGATAGAGGCTATTATTATCGTGATGGAAGATACGAAAGAAAAACCTCACCAATGATGAGTCCTATTATCTCTCCGGTAACCACCTAGGAGAATTTCGCATATTTGGTACTAGATTGTCCTAGAAGTTTATTACTACGTTTCTTTTTTCGAATCACGTGGGTGGCTTAGATATCATACGCTGACGGGCTTTCTAAATATATTATGCGCAGTAAGACGTCATTGAATTATTAGCCTTCTATTGGTTGGAAGTCTTCACGATTATCATATGACACAGCATGTATTGGCAAAACTTTAGAGAATAGATGAATATCGTTCGAAAAAATA